AATCACTGCTAACACTAAACTGATGAGCAGTAAAAGCTTTTAAATCGTCACCTATGGCCAATTTTGGGTATTGGTTTTTTTTTTGTGATTTAACAGGCGCATGCAGTTTTAAAGCTTGACGTGTTTGGTGTCTATTTACCCGACACGACCCCGTCTTTTATATTTTGCCAAAAAAATTGGGTAATAATAAATGTTTCATAATATAACATAGGGAAAACTTTTTTTTCTAAATTTTCTTTATATAGTAAAAAATGAAAACCCCAGTGGTGATTAAATACCACCAACAGAAAGCTCTATGTGTCCCCAAAAATGGTATAAAATTAATTTCAGTACCACGTTGCATGACGGAATAAATGTCAGTCAAATTACCGCAGCGCTGAATACTGAAAAATGGCCGGGACAGGAAGGGGATTCAACACCCCGGTCAGCAAGGGGTCAATATGAGAAATTTTAGGGGTATCATTGAGCACCTGAACTCTTTTCTCTCCTCGCAGGTCTAGCTTATGTTCCAGTAAGCCTTATTACAGGCTCTTACTTCAGATAACAGTATGGAGGATGGGATGTGAAGCACGGCTTTGTTCTTTTCCAAATTTAATGTGAGCACACAGCAGATAATTAGTGGCTAGCAGTGATCTAACAGCGGCGGGTTCCTCTTCACAGCCCCCAGTGACGGCCAGCACCCTGATATGCCATAGCGACCCTGGTGGCCCACACGGCATCAGAAGGATGCCCTGGCCAGGCCCCCCTGTGCCCGGGCCCCATATCAGCCGCCTGGTCGCTATGGCGATTGTTAAGCTACTGCCCCTACTGCAGCCTTTCTCAAACCGGGTGGCACCCTGGTATGCTTTCTGGCTTCCTCAGGGGTGCCTCAAAATTGTCATATGGCATCATGCCTTTCCATGGTGCAGGTAGATAGCGGCTCCCAGCTGCCTGGGAAAGAAACATTTTCTCCCGGAAAGGTTTACTCTGCTTGATGTAGCAGAGTAAACCTTTCCTTGCTATCTGTTTTTTTTTTCTGACATCGGGGCCGCCAGCCGCCACCAATCAGAGTAAAAAAAACAGCATAGGAATAATTAGCTAGATTGCTATTGGCTATTTCAATTTGCAATAGCCAATTGCAGACTAGCTATTACACCAGCCCACTGCTGCTGCCAATCAGCAGAGGTGGACCTGAAGTTCTCCATCAGGTCCTCTTCTGCTGAATGACAGCAGAAGAGGGCGGATGCAATAGCCAGCTTGCCATTAGCTATTGCAAATTGAAATAGCTAATAGCGATCTAGCTATTCATTCCTATGCTGATTTCTTTTTTTTTATTCTGCAGATATCAAGGGAAGCAATAGTTCCTTTAATATCTGCAGTCATTCCACTGACTTTTTGGGGGGGTAGAAAGAGGGCACTTCCCTGAAATGAGAAGGGCACCTCCCTGTAATCACTTTTCTCAGGTTGGGATCCCTGTACTCTGATCCCTGCATTTGTGTGTGTGTGTTTTTGCATGGGTTCCCCCTTAAAATCCATATCAGACACCTATCTCACATAAGGGTCTGGTATGGATTAGGGATGCACCGATACTAGTTACGGTATCGGTGCAGATACCAAGTATTTGGGCAAGTACCCGTACTCTCCAAAATGCTCCCGATACTTATCCCAATATCAGAACTTCCAGTACGAGAAAGCCGGGTGGCAAGTCATTACATGTCATAACAGTCATTCCGGCTCCATGCTCCCTTGTCACCAAGGAGCATGGAGCTTCCCGGGCAATCAGGAAGCCGAGGGATGGGTAATGACTCGCCAGCTCCAGCTCCATGCTCCCTCGACACTTGGACTTGCTGCCCGGCCAGTCACCATATACAGTAGATGGAGTGAGGAGCATTGGTTGCATTGGGGCTGAGATCCATCCCATGTGGAAAGCTGGGCCAGTCAGAGCGGCACAATGTTTGCAGTGTACTGTGTGTGCCTACGCAGCCTACCACCCACTTTCCGGCCAAAGTGTCCCAGGTTGCTAAGAGTTGAACGGTGTAGGTGTCAGGCAGTGAAAAGGCTAGGGATGCCCCTGTACCTAACCTTATGCAAACCTAGATTATCATAATTTGCATGATCCTTCAAGAATCACAGAGGGCCAATTCACACATTTACTTCCTGGTGTGTTACATTAACGTGCATTAATGTGTGTTGGTTTAAGACAGCCCATACAAATTAATAGGCTGTCAATGCACCATAACACACACAAAAAATGGACATGCACCATTTTTTTAGACAGCGCATGGCAGTGGCGACTCTAGGAACAATATATAGGGGGGGCACATAAGATACCACAGTCAAAATGGGGGGGCACTAATAATTTTCACCACTAAAAAAAACTAAAGAAGTATATATGAATAAGATTACAAAATACGAGAGTAATGCGGTATGCGGTGATACCTTTTTATTGTACTAACCTAATACTTAGAAGACAAGCTTTCAAGAGTTTTTCTTTCTTCCTCAGGTATTGCTTCAGACTTGAGAAAGAGGAAAACTCTCAAAAGCTTTTCAATTTCAGCAAACACCAGGGCTGTGTAAATAATCACCTATAGCGATAGAGGACTACAAACCGCAGCAATACATTATACAGAAAAGCAGAATACCACCAGCTATAGAGGACTACAAATCCCAGCAATAC